GAGTGTGGAAATCCCTGCATAGTTCCAAAAAAAAAAAGAAAAGTCAAAGATCAAGTGGATAAAGGCAGAGAAGATGTTTGATTCCAACAGGGATAAAACTGGAGTTGTGATGGGAAAACAGTCTGACCACTGGAGTGCACTAACCCTGAAATCCCAAATACTCCGTCAGCGCTCCGCTCCGCCCCGCTGCGTTCCAGACCGCCTGCGCAAAGCAAAGCCTACAGCCGCCGCTGTGGTCCCGTCCGCTCCCCTCTGAGTTCCTTGGAGATGGTAGAGAGCATGTGCGACCAGGGTTTCCGCGGATCATAAAAAATAATTACAATTCATTAATTTTTTCTTTAAATCAAGGCCTTAATTGGAACTAAAATTATTTAAATATGTTTATCGAAGTATTTATAATTATTTAATAAAAAATGCTTATAAAAACAATTTCGTCCGATATATTATATCGCTATTAATTTGCATGAAACTGATCATAAAGCCGTATGTTCGGAAAGGAAGCTCGAGGCGGAGAAAAAGCTAGAGGATATATATATATACGTATATATGTGTGTGTGTGTGTGTGTGTGTGTGTGTGTGTGTGTGTGTGCGTGCGTTTACATACATACAGGAGTCATGGAACTGTGCTTACAGTTCCTTCATATTTCATGTACACTAATAACTTGTGTACATGGTTCTTGTTGATGGCATTAAAATAATTTCTAATAGCATTAAATTAGAGTCAGTCATTCCTGTATGAACCCTGTGAGTGCTTAATTTAATATGACATATTAAAAAAATCCCACCATCATCCAGCATATGTTCAGTTTTCTGCCCAAATATATGAATATATATTTGTAGATTTTTGTAACGGGGATAAGGATAATTCAAAACAGCTTTTTTTTTATGAACTTGTTCTCTACTCCCAAACTCAGCATCTCTTTTCATTCCTGTAATAAGAAGTTTCTTTTGAATGGATTTGATTAAAGTTTAAGTCCCTCTGTATAAAATAAATATTTTGATGGAGATTAGAAATCTGCTTCCTGGTTGGTGAATAACCAATAGTTTGGATCCAATCATTTAAATAAACGGTGTTAGATTTTTTTTATATATATATATATATATATATATAAGAATTGTGCTATAATTTCTAGTCACCGATCTGTTGCTGCTATATTTTAATTTGACGAACCGGAATTTGTCTATGTTCTTTTTCCTGTTTGGTGCGATTGCAATTGCGGATCTTGACCTGGCCGGACCGGAGCGGAGCAAAAAATAGCTCGGCTCCGTAATTTGTCGGTGACGGACGGAGAAGACGTGCGGAGGAGTAGCGGTCGACGTGCAACAGCTCTCATTGATTTCCATGAAAGACAAGCACTCCGCACGATGTACGTCAGCGGGGCGGAGCGGAGCGCTGACGGAGTATGTGGAATCCAGGGGTAAGGCCGTTTCTCAATATGTGTACTTGTGCATTCTCATGTGCTCGTGTACTCGTGAAACGTCATCATCCTCAGCCCTAGCATTGTTCCAATTCACAAGAACAGCAGACTGAGAACGGACAAAGTCCCCGGATGTTGTTCTTGCCCCTGCCTATTTACCAAGTATGCTTGAGAGCAGACTTATCCTTTCTTGAGATTGACAGCTGTCCCAGCATGCACTGCAGCAGCTTTCAATGGAGCGCTCACAGAGCTCAGAGTAATAAGCTAACAGTTCTCTTTTCTGTTGCCGTTGTTCAATAAAATTGCATTTTAAGATCATTTGAGGTGAGATCATAAAACTTTTAAGCGTCACTAAATGGTCCATTTACCGATTAAATGCTGAAGTTGAGAGGACCGCGGCAACCAGCGGACCTCAGAGGGTAACGGCAGCCAGGTCTAATTCTCAGCCCTCTCTCGGCGTGCCATGTGTGAAGGACCGCTGGCTCTGAAAGCGATATTTTTGTTTAATTTGGCAAAATGTTCAATTGATTTGTGTTTATCTGATTGTGTTCATTATTATTCCCCCCACTAAATGAAAAAATCCAGAATGTATTATTATTATCTAGAGACTATTAATACCAGGAGGTGAAATGCAGCTCCAGACGAGCTGAGCATGTGGTGACATCACAAGTACGCTTCTCTTCCAATTGACCCATATTTATGCTAACCTGACTCCGCCAGATGGATTTGCTCTGCATATCCGGAAACCTTCCGGTGAAGTAATTTTGAGAAGGGGCAAAAATACTGGGTAACTGATTGGCCCATGTTGGTGATAGACGGGCCAAATAAACCAATCAGATCAACGAAGCATATGACATAACAGAGCGACGACGAAGAGGAGCCAATTGATAGATCAAACTCTTGCCGAAACCAGTCGGGAGAAGAGCAAAAACATCTTTTCCTCTCAGAAAAGCCTCCAGAGCAGTGTTTTGTTCTTCTTTCATTGAAGAAATACTCTGTAATTCCGATAAAACTTGCTCGATAGCCACGCTAACGCTAGTTTCATCGGCTGAAGCCGCCATGTTCTTTAGACTGAACTGTCGCGCTTCTCGTTGCGTCACACCTCAACCCGCCTCGCATTCTGATTTCACTCTGAAGCTATAAACAGGGGAGAACATTTCCTTGCCAACAGTGCTACTGGACTTAGCAACGCTTTTAAGCCCAATACTCCAACCTCTTAGCTTTCTGCAAGGCGTTACAACACAGTCAGCATGGTTGGGACTGATTTAGTAGCTTCATTAATAGCCACCACCTGTCTTTCTGGTAGTTCAATTGTACTGCCAGCAGGTGGCACTACATCTGTTAATGTCAGCGCTTCGTTTCTGATAATAGGTTTCTTTTATGCACAAAACGGAGGATCAAAACGCTATCAGGACAGATGATTGGAAAATATATCCTTATTTTATCATAACCAACTGGATTCTAGTCTTTTTAATATAGGCATGTAACGTGACTATGTGCCTTTAAACTTGATGTGTCTTAAGAGATTTTATTACTTATTTTCACACAAAAGACAATATATGCTGTTGGTTCTTTGATGTATGGCGTGGCCTTAGACAAAAAGCAGATTAAAAGACATTTAGCATTTACATTTATGTGTCTCAAACCATAATAAGATTTGTATACGATTTAGAAAAATTTCACCATGTGCATCCCATATTTTTTTGTTATCAACTGAAAACTGCAGAAGCATAAAAAATAATTAAAAAAAAATCTAAAACTAGATTTTTTTAGTATCAGCCAATTATTGGTTAAAGTGGATCAAAGGGAATTTTGTCCAAACACAATTATAAACCAACTGATTGCAACATTGAAATTTAGTAAAACTTACCTTTAAACAGGTTTAGGTTTTCCCAACTCTATTTTTACAAACCAGTGCTCTACCTTAGTGTTTACTCTTTGACGAGACGTTTGTGTTTTTCCTGTACCAACATGTGCTGCTGTACATCTTGCACAGGGTAATCAGGAAAAGCAAATTATTAGAAAATAAATTTTACCCATTGTGATTGAAATAACATGAAAACAAATTGTTACAACAGTATTAATTATGTATAAAAGCTGACCTTTATTAACTTTAATACATCAAACACAACACTCCTGTTGCTTTGGGATTTACTAAACTGATTTAGACAGGAAAGCACCCCCATGCTGTTAGTTGATCTCTAACACTTAACCATAAAGCAATGGTGCAATACTGTGCAACAAACTACTGATGGCTTTTTAACTACTGTCTTCAGTCACATTAAATCTATTGAGGATTATATTCTATCACATGTTACAAAACTGTCTGAAGTTTTCCTTTTTTTGATATAAAGAAATCTAAAATGTGAAGTTTGAATATGTAGCCCTCCCTTTATAGAACCAGCTTTTACTGAATTCCCTGCAATACATATTTTTGGGTGTGTCTCGACCAGATTTGCATTTCTAGGCACTTAAATTTCCTGAAATGTACCCAAGTTCATGTCAAGTTGGGTGCCTCATCTGAGAATATCAGTTTTTAAGTCTTCCCAAAGATTCGTGTCTATTGTATAAGTCTGTGCTTTTGAATGGGCCATTCTAGTTCATGATCTAGGTCAGCTCTGACTTTATGTTTGCAGTCACTTTTTCTGTGGGAGGGTAAAATACCCTGTATCTAACTAGTTATATCTTCACATGAGGGGTGGAGAGGTGAGCTTGAGGTAATGTGCTTTATTCCCTCGGTACAAAGTACCTCCTTCCACATGTTTCCCATGTTCCCTGCATGGATTATAGGAATCCACTAAATGGTGTATGCCATTTTTAAAAAAAAAAGGTTTTTCTTACTGACAGCCTTTAACAGAAGTCAGATTTGAGGAGTGCTATTAATCTCTGCAGCTCCTCCAAAGTTACCATATTATGTATTCAACAGTGGCCTGTAAGAGATGTGGTTTTAGTATCCGACTCTCCATGTGTCCCATTCTAATCATGGCTTCCTTTTTCTGATGCTTTAACGCCACAAATTTATCTAGGAGCATTGATGCTGCAAAAGAGTAAGACTTTCTAAAATATAAGTCTATTTGTCCTACATTTAGGTTGGTAAGTAAAACGATTTGTCCATGAAATAATATCGCTGCACTTAAAATAAGAAAAAAACAAAAAAACTCCTCTTTATCATATTTCAAATTCAGTATATTTATTTCAGGGATCGAAATCCTCATTCCATTGACAGCTGATTTTACTTACCTGCTTAAATAAGATATATTTTAGGCCATTTATTTCAATGTAAGAGAGATAAAGGGCTTAATAAAATCAGCAACATTTTAGGTATACCATATAAAAATAAAATAAAAAACATCTGAAAAAACTATAATAAAACTACATATCTCTGATTGTTCTATTTGGTAGTGAAAAATAAACAAATACATAACGAAGCAACATGTGAAAATGTTTTACTATGAATATTTCATAAAGGACTGTCTAAAATGCTTAAATAGATTATGAAAGCACATATTTCCGCATCTTTAATGAAAACAAATACTGATAAACATGACTTGTGCTGATATATTTAAAGATGTAAGTATTTACCTGAATATGTCTGAAGGCTGCAGTCAGCTGGGTCATGTGCAGACTCAGACACCTGGACGTGCATCTCGCGCTGTTGACTTTCTCCTGAACATCCTCCGGATCCAGAGAACTCCTGCGGGCACGCGCCACAGCCCACGCCACGCAGAGCAGTACCAGAACGGCTCGAGGGGCTGACATCACAGCGCGGGGATGCAAACAGATAAGAAACTCCTCAAACAACAGACTTTTCGTGCCAGTGTGTGCGTCGCCTGCGAGGAGGAAAGCATCTGAGCGCGAGCAGGGAGTGGAGCGACTCTACTCAGCACGCGGACACTCCCACTGCCGCCACGCCACGCGGAGTTCTTTTCTCACTCCCTATTATCCTGATTACCATCATCATCGCGGCTTAAAGCGTTTCTCTCTTCAGTAACCAGGAAAACATGATCACCGCGTTGCTGGGGAATTTTCCCCAGATCCATCTGCTCCGTTTTTTTTATTTATTCCCTATATACATGCATCTATTTCCCTCCCCATAAATATCAATATATAAATGTAATCTCAAAGGTTATTATTATTTCACATAATGCTTGTAAAACTCTTACGGAAGAGGATTAGGGCCACCAAAAAAGTAAAAAAAAAAAAAAAAGTTACCTGATTTTTAAATATTATTTCAATTTAAAATGGGACAAACCACAGAATTCTGACTTTATTCCCAGAATTCTGACTTTATTCCCAGAATTCTGACTTTATTCCCAGAATTCTGACTTTTTTTCTCAGATTTTTTTTATCTTAATGTAGATGGGGACCATGAAGGAAGAGATGTGGGAGCACTCAGCTTCACTGGCAAAGATGTGAGTTGTCTGGGAGGGCCAGTAACACAATGGTGGAAAATGATGGAATTAGGCGACCTTTTGCATGCCTGAGGGGTCCCCGGTGATGCTATTTCATTAATGGAAGAGCAGAGGGTGATTAAAACAAGAGAGCTAGTCTCTAAAACAGACATGGCTACCGCTTGATGCTAACATGTTTGTTAGCTGTCAGAATTCAGTCAAAATTCTGAGATTCTCATATTAAAATTTAAAAGTCAGTTAACTTTATAAAATTTTTTCTGTGGCCCTAATCTCTTCCATACCCTCTATCAATATATCAATAGTTCATGCAGTTGGAATAGAGACTTCCTGCGGGTTTTCAACAGAACAAGTGTTATAGGCTACTAAATAGTTACTCCCTTTTGCAAGTTATTACACTGGCCTAGATGCAATCGTTCTTTCTTGAAACTACCACCTTTCTGTACCATGGGGCTTAGGCAGAAGTTACTTGTTAGGGTTCCGGTTTGTGTGGGTTGTTTTTCCTGTGTTTTTCCTCTCCCCACCACCAGGCGGCGCCCCGTTCTCATTGGGCCTCCCTGCACACCTGCGGCTCGTTGGGTCATTACCAGAGGAGTACTTGAGCTGCGGACTGTCACCACCTCGATGCCAGAGTGTTTGCCAGTATTGGGTACTCTAGCCTTACTGTTCCATTGCTCCTCTGGACCCAATGCAAGTCTGCCTGTCCGCCCTCCAACGAGTTCCTTTCATCTCTGGATTAAATCCCCCACAAACTGGACCCAAGGGAAACCAAGAATCTCCCTAACGTGAGTCTCCTCCAGCAATTCACCAGTCTTAGTCATTTTCCCTACGGACCTTGAACTGATCTTTGTGATCTCCCCTAACAGTTTCCAGTTTCCCCTTCACCAGACCGCTGAAGTCCCACTGCGATAACCTTGCATATAATCTCTCTCTGTTTTTGTCAACCTCTCAATAAACCTGTTAACTTTTCCCCTGGTGCTCTGAGTGAATCTCTGCATGTGGGTGAGATCTTTAAAACCCATCATGACATTACTTACCCTTACTCCGTGGTTGTGCTATGTTGGACTTCGATTCAGATTATCCAGTTTCAACCCACCTCCATCCCTTTCTCCACCATCGTAGCTAAAGCTTCATCAGAGTGTCATTCCTCCTGGACTCTTACTGCGTTCCCTGTCTCATCTCAATCAGTCCGGTAGAACACTGCCGTGTTGAATCCGGTTCTGCCAGAGGTTTCTTCCCAAAGGGGAGTTTTTCCTCTCCACTGTCGCTTCATGCTTGCCAATGATGGACAGGTTCATGCAACCTGTGTTATTCAAGCTGGACTTCCCATCTTCCCAGGTCCCTGAGTGAAGCACTAGTATCAGCTCACGAAGCCTACTGGATCTCTTCATACAGCTCAAGCACACTGTCTCGCCAGCCAGCAGTCATGGACTGACCAACTTCATCCTCTCCACTCCACCACCAGGTTCAAGCCTGGGAGGAAACATCCCTATTTTTTACTCTTGTTTATGCATATTAGAGCAAAATTCAGCACTAATCTTTCTTGCCGAGGTCTGAGCACCAAAGACTAAAGGAATTGTATAAAAAAAAATCTTCTAATTGTCTTTTTTTTCTGTGTGCGTTTTTCAGATTGAAATAAATATGTATTTAACCTTGAAGCAAACCATTTTGCTTCAACCATGTAGCTTTGCTCATCCTGCAGTTAAGGAAAAATGGGGTAGGGAGTGGTACATTTTTGACATATAAGGTTTCAGAAACGTTGACCATACTGAAACTTAATTGATTTTAGCATTAGTAGATCTAGCCATAGAAGTAGTGAAAATGTGATTTAGTGAATTTAGCTTCCCTAAATTATTTATTAAAGCATGTTTCAACTAAATTGTCTTTTTAACATCGTGACAAACTGTCATGGTCAGCGCTGGACCAAAATCCAGGCAACAGCTCAGTAGCCACACTGCAATTTGAAAGATTTAATACTGAAATCAAATAAACTTACACTAGAGGAAAGAAGACTGTTCTGAACAGGCAGTCAACAGAAACCTAAAGCAAAGCAATATGGAGGAGAGAAGCAGGGGATTTCATCAAAGAAGCAATTACCGTCTATATAAATAATAGGAGAGAGTGAGGTGAAAGCATGGCAAGCAGGTGAGAATAAGCAACAGATGGAGAGACTTAAGGAAGGTAGCTGAAGGAGGGAGAGAACAATTTGTGGTGCTACATCTAACAAGTTGGCAAAGCAGAAAAAACAGGCATACAATTAAATAAAAAAATAAATAACTCAAAAAATAATTACGCAAATTTACAAAAGTTAAGTTTTGACATAATTTGCATAATAAATTCTATCTAAACGAGCTGGAAGTTAACGAGAAGGCTGCTTCTTAACACCAAATGCAGTTAGCAGAGCAACCTCCTGACATCCTTAGCCGCCACTAGGAATCATACGATTGCCCATGATCCTTTGCAGGACAGTATGTACTGGCACAGCCCACCCCAATGAGCTTAACAAAACAAGATTATTAAGATTATACTCACATCTTCTCAATGTGACACATGCTAATATGCACACCTTCGTCTGTATAAGATTTAATAAAGAAGTAAATACGGATGCTGTCCGGATTCAGCACTGCAGTTTGGGTTCTTTTCGTACCCTGGATAGAGTTCTTCACTGTAGACCATGTGAAAGGTGAAGGGATAGGAGCTAGGAACAGGAGGTAGGAGCTACAGCTTTTGGTATTTGGGCCAAGCCATGAACACTCTTAACAGAGCTTGATGAGCAATAACTAGAAATAAATTTTGAAAATAATCTTAACTCAATCTCATTAAGCTATAAGGTAACAAGAATTGCAAGATTGCAAGTGGAAAATCAACGCTGGACGGGAGATTCAACGTAAAAGAAAATAAATGAAACACAAAAGAGGCCAGCAAACACCAAAAAGTTAAAAAGAAATTGAGCAAATAAACCTTAAATCCTTTATATATATATATATATATATATATATATATATATATATATATATATATATATATATATATATATATATATATATATATATATATATATATATATATATATATATATATATATATACAAAGCTTTTTGAATTGCAATTAACTGTTTTTCCTTAGATAAAAAACTTTGAATCAATGTGAATGTATGATCTGGTTGATGTGTTGTGAATTGGCACTGTATAAATAAACTGAATTGACATGAATTGTCCGCTTACAAAAAAAGTGCTTTAGAAATAAACCTTCCTTGCTTTAATATCTTAATAAAATGTCCTTATTTTAATATGGCTATGTACAATAATTATGCAATATCAATGCATGTGGGAGAGTATTGACCAAAATAAATTCTTCTTGTAATTATAGTTCTGGTTCTTGGTTGACAACATCACCATGGGTTACATTTTAATTACCATAATGATTATTTGATATGTTGTGTATATCGTTTTACTGCTCAGGATACAAATAACCCAGAGTCTCTTTGAAGTTTGTCGGATGCACAAAGAACACCCTGTTAAACGGTGAGTGGGAAAGCAGCAGCGCAGGGAATAATTATTCAAGTAGATGCAGGTGAGCGGAGAGGCAGAAGGGGATCAGGTGACCCCATTGGAGGGGAATGCAGAGCAGGTGGCAGCTGCACAAAAAAATGATTGTTAGTTTATAAGACTAGAGATAAAACCATACCTTTTTATAGTCTTTTTAATATCAACTTCATATTCTTCATCCTTTTTCTCTCTTTCTCTCCTACTAGTTTAATAAATAATCAGAAGCATAAACTTGTCAATATTATTTAAGGTCAAAGCTAATCGACAGAGACCCACATTACAAAAGACGCTCCAACGAGAAACATTTCTTCCTCATAGTTTGAACAGCAGGCTGGTTCCAGGCACATTAAAACTTTACCATTTCTACTGTGAAAAACAAACTCCCCTTTATAGTTTGGGATTTCTCTCTAGGGCTAATTTTTGGACTAATAAAAGACCATTTACTAATTGGAAAGAGACTTAGGGAATGTGTTGAGGTAGGCGTCTGTCACTCAGCCAGTGAGAGTGTTGGTCACTGCTTTTTGACAGCAACTGCTGAGCCAGGTGGAGTTTTCTTCATGTAAGGGCCAAGCCGTGATGTTTAGGACATGGCGCTGAAAGACCTATTTGTTTACATGAAACTGTACCCCAGAGAAGGAGTCATCTCTGCTGGCAGTGAAATGTAGACAGAGTCACCTAGGTTTTGATTTAGTGGAAGTGCAGTCGTATAAATATTTGGGAAGCCCTGGCAGAATTGTTATTGGCCCTGTGGCGAAAACCAGACTTTTCCTTCTGCTTTTTACAGAAAACCACTCATACACTGTATTTGTCTTCATGTGACTGTCTTGGTTCGTTAACCTTTAGCTCAAAGATGTCCAGGTATGTAACATAATATCTTAATTAATTACATCATGATTCCTAACAAGCCATGGTGATGTATTATATCGAGTTGATTCAT